TGGCGAAAAGCAGAAGGAGAAAAAGGCTTTTGTTTTTTAAAGAGTAAATATTGGACGAGAATGGACATTATTATGCATAAGAAATGAAGCAGAGGGTGCAGCGAAAAAAAGCATTGGCACATGAAAACTGCTGGAATAATGCTTTGAATTTCAGTCTCACACTGGACACTTTCCACACTCATCGAAGGTGGAACTTTGTTAAACTGTCAAAAAGAAAAAGGAACAAAAAAAGACAAAACAAAAACAGGTGGAGAAGAATAAAGGGAACATCAGAGAATGACTACATTTAAAAGTCAAAAATGCACTGAAGTTTCAACAAAAGTTTGAAAAGCACTAATAATAGTAGCAGTGATAATAATAATAACATTAAACATAGTAACAGTAATCATGATAGTAATAATAATATTTATAATAGAACAATAATAATAATATTGGTATTGGTAACGGTAATGGTAATGGTAATAACAGCAGCAATAATAATAACGGTAATAATTTTAATGATAACAGTAATGACAGTGGTGATTGGTGTAATTAGAGAAGAGACAAAAAATTTGCCTCCATAAAACGGGGACGGCGTAAGCAGAAATTTGCTGCTGAGAGAATGTTTCGTATTTTTTTACTTTTGCTTTTTTTTTTTTAACAAATATTATTTGTTGTTTTTACAAAAGGAGCCCAAAGCAACAGTTCGCAAAGATATGGAGGATCGGGAAAACGAAATTAAAGATCGCAAAGAAATTGTAAAGCCAAAAAGAAAAAAACGACAATGACAACGGATCAATAGATATGCATAACGGAGGACACTCCAGGAAAGGATAAAGGTTCATTATTGTTTGTTTAATTGCTCCTTGTTCATCACTAGCGTGTTTGATTGAAACTGAAGAAGTTCCGGCGTTTCGGAGCTCCTCTACTCATCCATTTTTTGCTTGCAGTACTGAAGTTGGTTCTCCCCATCCTGCAGTACCTAACGAGAGATGCAGAGGTCTGAACAAATAATTAACAGGCAGTGCTAAACAATGATGGGGTGAGAGGAGTGGCGGTAGGAAAAGAGTGACAGACAAAGAAAGATGGAAAGAAGAGGAGAAGGAAACGATGAATTACGATTGGCAGCATAAATTAAAATTTTAAACATCAAGCAACTGAGAGGGCAAACGCAAACACAAAAATACACACATATGCAAAAGAGAAAAAAAGAATCAAGAGGAACAATAAAATTGAATCTTGGAAACACCTAAAATAACTAACAAACCAACAAACAGAAACTTTAAAAAGTATTCATTTTCCTGTCGAAAACTCCACAGGTTTTCTGATTGCCTAGGAAGACTTAACCGCGGTTGCGATAAATTCGTTTTCGGTCGACTTCAATCAGCAAGCCATCTGGGATACTTGGAAAGCATTTACTACAATAACCTCCGCAACGGCCGCTAATACGGGCGTTATTCTGTAAGCAATTAACACAGCTATAAAACTGTTTTCAACATTTTAAAACCAAAACAGGAGCGGAAAAAGTAGTTTTGTTCCTCTACTTTTCTACGTTCAATGAACCAAAAGTTTAATCAGTAGCCATGGAGAGATAGAATGAAGCAGAATCGTATTTGGGTACAACCGAGCGGAATGAAGTGATATCTACTTAATGCCTCACTGGGTCTTCAAAAAGGTGACAGGAAAAGTGCACTGACCAGTCTTCTTATCTAACTTTTGCTTCAGTAGAAAAAAAATGCACTGGCGATTTATTATAGGTAAACTTACTGCCGATCGATACACCTCAGTAGACGAGTGCAATCCTTTGGCTGTCCAGGTAACTTTCTCGGCTACACGTAAACCGGTACCGCGTAAGTCTATTTCAAAGCGGCCCTGAACTTTTATTCATAAACCAGTAGCATAAAGATATTCTGTATTCAACCGCTATTTCCCTATGTAAAAAACTTGAGAACTCTCTGGAATCATGTGAGCAAAAAATAAAGGTAATTTATGCAAATTTCTGAGGCAAAGATACAGTGCAAATTTCATAATAATTAACTTCAAACAGCTGACAGAAATATTTTAGCAACTGTTTAGCAAACAAATTATACCGTAATCTTATTCCATAAAACTTAAAATATTATATCCTCTTCAAGAGCTTCCTTTTTCTAACAATGCCAACCTAATAAACTTTAGTGACTTCAGTAAAGAAACAAGCTTTACAAAGTTTGCACAAACCTGCGGACATTTGGCAGTGCTGTAACAATCTCCGGCGGTCCCGTAAGCAATCCTCACTCCTTCTAAAGTTTTTGCAAATGTATCATCATTAACTGAAAATACATCTATTTAATATTGAAGAAACAATAAGATCCGGTTCAAAAAAAGATGAATTTTTTCTTGTGTCTGACTGGATGACAACACTATATTCAAAATGCACATGCAATTTCTAATTCAATGCATAATGAACACTACACAACTAGATCACTAAAGCTACTGATTTTTGACTGACAATCGCAAATACTTTTAGCCTACATCCTTCAGTGTCCTACTTCACCAAAGCAAACGACACTTTTGAGTCAAAGTAGTAGACGTATTTAAAAGGAAACATAATTTACCGTTGATCCTCATATTGTGCAGATCTACGCGAATTTTAGAATAGCTAGTGAGTCCAGCATTTCCACTAGTATCTAGATGACAAGCACATGAATCGTTACGCTTACCACTGTGAGGACAAGTATAAGGCTCGTTCAGTCTACAAAGGCGAGCAATATAATAAATAAAAGCGAAATCTTCAAAGAGAACAGTTTTTTTCAGTAGTTTTGCAACAACTTTCAAAAGATAACATTAATTTTTGCAAAAAAGCGAAAGTGGAGGAAGATATCTGACAGGAACAGGAAGTAATACATAAAAAATATACCTTTTTAAAGCTAACCAAACATTCATTTTATACGCTTCTTAAAAGACTGTAAAGGGGCTTGACAAAAACAAGAAGTAAAATCAAAACAAAACTCGATTAAGCAGAAAAAAAACGTACCGTTTACCATAAAACTCTGCAAAGTTCGTAGAAGCATTAACTTCAACATAAGTTCTCGGAATGCTGTCGTTCATTTTATAACAGAAAACTTTGATCATGAAGCCATCCACAAGGATAGTATAGTGTCCATCTTTCATTCCTTTATTATGTAGTTTCAGATCGGCGCAATCACTGGGAATGCCTAAAGCCTCCAACTATAATAAAGTTTCTATTGCAAAAACTTAAGGAGCTTAGTGAAATGACCGACTGTTTCTCACAGCAAAGGAGTGGAAAAAACTGGCAAAGCCACATTGTAAAAATAAAAAAAATCGTGAGCATTAGCTTGAAAGCTATCGAAATATATATATAATAAACATTCATTCATCAATTTTTAGAAACCAATGAGTTGAAGTTAACGAGGTTTAGTTACACCAACTCACAGTTCCGAAGAAAGCAGCCTTCTTTTTTCCTCGGCCGATCCGGACCCTGGTCGCATAAAGAACTGTCAACTTCAATACCATCTCTATTCATGCATGTTACCTTCCGACGCCTGCTTCCAGGTCCGCATTGTCTACTACACTGCAAAATCAAAAACCCTATGCCATATATCATAGAACTCAAGGCTTACGCGCTTTAAACGAACCATTCACTACAATTAAACAGCGGGCCCTGAAGGACAATGAAAGAACGTATATATAAATGAAGTTATCCGAAATTAAAACGAGAACTTTGAAAAGGATTTTAAAAATTTCATTATTACTCACATTTGACCACTTGCCAGTTATCCATCTATATTCAGAATCACACGGTTTAATCGCGCACTTCTTTCTGATGGGAGGTTTAGGTAACCCTAAGCATAAATCTTGATGAACGCTGGCTTCGGCTTCTATTAAGCTGTTGGCGGCTTCACCAGTTTTTTTTATTCTGCACTTTATACTTCGATAGTGGAAACCTTCCCCGCAAGTTGTTGTGCACTAAATCAACATTTAATCCAAACAGAATAAGCAAACTATTAAAAGTAATAAATGGAAAAAGATATACAGTAAACTAGGAGGAACTGTCAGTTAAAATATTACCGAAGTCCACGGCCCTGGTACCCAGTGGTAGGGACACCTTGCGCTTGAGCAGTTGCGTTCTGTTTCAGGCTTTTTGAGGTGTTCGCATAATTTTTCTGCAGCCCTTCTACCCCAACTGCTTACGCAGAAAACTTCTCGATGTTGCACGGACTTCTTACAGGGATTTCGGCACTAAAAAGTTGGTTTCTTAATTGGTTTCTTAAAAAACCAATAAAAACCCTAAAATTCAAAATAAATAAATGAATAAATATTAGATTGCTAACTTTTGACCATTTTGCAGCAAACCAGTGATATGTTGGACACGATCTCAACTCGCATTTAGTAGCATGCGGAGGCTTTGTAAGCAGTGAGCACTCGGAATCGGGTATAATATGACGACGACCCTTTGTGCACACGACTCTCCTAGTTTTCAGCCCTTTACCGCAAGTTACTGAACACTAAAACAACGCATTTTAAAAATAGTTTAGATTTTCAAATTCCTCGTTCAGTGAACTGCTCTTTTATTTTGACAAAAATAAGTGATAAACTTATAAACGATATTCTTGAGAACACTTTATGTACAAATTTGAGGTTTAAAAACCATTATTTATCAGTTTGGACTTGACAAAACAGGACAGCTTGTCGCAAAAAGCGAGGGATCATTTCTACCTATACAGCAATAAAAATAAGCAAAATCTTTAATTATAATCGAGCGAATTAGCAAGAAGAATAAGGCTGAACATTACTATTGTGTATAACGATTAAGAATAGAGCTTTTCGCTGCTAGACAAATGAAGAATGATGCCTTATCTTCTCTAAAGTACACTAGCCTTTGACGAGATCATTTAAATGGTTTTCCGAAGCAGAAGTCCACTGAAAACGCTTCATAGCAACTTAAAGCTGGCAGATGGTGAAACAAAAAGTTTGAAACCCTTACCGATGACCATTTTCCACGTCTCCACTTAGGGCAGTGTTCCATCCTACAAGAATCAGTGTTGTTTGGTGCTTTCTGCCCAGCACAAAAGTTTGCATCAACTTTAACTCCCTTGTAATTTTGGCAGTAAACCTTCCTAACACGTACACCACGACCACAGGTTTTAGAGCACTAAAAAATTGCATTACTACAGAGGAGGGATCGCTGCATATACCGAGAAAACAAGCAAAAGGTGATTTGGTGAAAAGGGTCCAGAATTGGCGTTTGGTACTCTAAATATCGGTATTGCAGAAACAAAAGCAAATCCAAAACAAAGCTGTTTGAAATGGTTAGCTTGCATGACAATTCAACGAGCAGTGACCGACAAGTGATATTTATGCTATACAAAAATAACTGTGCACAGCTTTCCGCGAATTTTCTGGCCGGTGAAGAAAAGCGTAGCTGTAATTTTAGATAAGTAATTTTAACCAATTGTTTTCATGAGAACCAAAGATAAGGTTGATCATCCTATGCGACATTTCTAAAGTTTATTTGCTATTCACGTATTATCCAAAATTCTTCACCAGACTACCATTTTGGCTGAAGCTACAAATAGTAGTTGCTCATTTACTGTCAGTAAATGGGAGTGTATTGCGCAGATTATAACAGTTCTAAAAAACTAAAACTTTTATTGTCAAAACTCTACGACGTTTATCATTTATCTGAACTGTTTGCTCCCTAGCAATAATTACTGAATTTAATGCATCATCCGTCACTTTTTGAAGTCCAATAAATCGTTTTAGTTATTCCAATCAACATGTACAACACCATAAGCTGTTGCTTCTGAATGAAATTGTACGGTTGCCACTTTTTCTCAAATAATAATAATAATAGCAATCAGGTACTTGCTGCTAGTTTAAATTCAGTCCTAATGATAACGCAAAATTTGTATTATTTAAAAAACAGTATCTCAAAAATCCTTTTGTAAGCCATATAAACTGACAAACAGACAGGCATGCAAGACAAAACAAATGCTGACGATACATGCAGCAACGAGGACATCTCTGACAGAACGAAACAGCAATCAACCTCAGCTGTGTTGTTGAATATTTGGTATATATTATAACAAAATAATAACGTCCGTTACCCCATCAACAACAAACTTCACAAAAAAGGGGTACAACATAACAAAAACAAAAAAACACAGCATTACAACAATTGGAAAGAGAAAAACATGGACAACCACATTAAGTACTATGCTCACGGCATAAACAAACTGAATAATTTCAAAAAGGATTTTTAAAAATTTTAGCCGCACAGTGGTAAAAAAATTAGTTGGCGCAGTTTAAATGGGAAGATCAACAAAGTTACTTTGTTCCGACAAATATTAATTAAAAATTAAATTAACTATGAATTGCATCTGTTAAAATCGCTTGACAAGCAATATACCTAGAAAAAAGTTGTTGAAATATCAGGCAAAAAAACAGAACGACATATCATAAACAAGCAAACCACTATTATAATAATAAAATGACTAGGAATAAATAAAATTCTGTTCAGGTTTCCAGCCTAATTATAGCACCAAAGTAGTACATCTATAATACCATTAAGAAGGTGTTCAAAAAAAGATTTCACTAGCTTAATCACTGATACTTAAGGTAACCCTTACTGTTTAGAAACTCTATTACTCCGCAAACATCGACACATTCTTATTTAGCTAAAGCAGTAATCAACAAAAAAGTATAAGTAACAGTGAAGCCGTAAAAGCGAAAAGTTTTGTTGATTAAAATTCAAAGCCTATATTTCTGCTGACGAAACCGATTTTTTACTAAAGACGATGGTAAGCATATTTTGGAAGACGCTTTCTTCGCTGAACAGAATTAGAACGTACCGGCGTCCACTGACCAGAATGCCAGTGATACTTTGGATCAGAAGCATCCGAGCAGGAAAATGTAGCGCATTTTTTTACATTTATTGGTTTTTTCAGTCCAAAACAATCGGTTTCAGGGACTAGAGTCTTTGTCTTCAAATCTCTACACCACACTTCACGCCGTTGTATGCCACCTCCACACGTTGCTGAACACTAAAAAAAATTTTCTTGAGATTTAACTCACATTTGAAGGTTTATCTATTTAATATATAAAAAAGCAAAGTATAAGAAGGAGAAATTTCAAAAGCAGTTCTGCATACTTTTGACCATGAAGAAGTAAACCAAGCGCTAGAATTTGCCCTTGTACATTCTCGCACATTACATGCTTCATATAAAGCTGGTTTCGTTTTTTCATCACATGAACGCCCGTTACAAGTTACTAATCTTTTACGCCAACCAGGACCACATGAGGTAGAGCACTGAAACGAATGGAACAGATATCTACCGATCAGATCAAGCCTTCAGCTGCTTATTAGATTTATTCAAACTAAAGTGAACATGATAACCTGTCCCCAACTGCCACTAATCCATCGTCCAAACAAAGAATAAGTCAGCGCGCTTTGAGCTTTGTGCGAACAAGGAGTCAGATAGCATGACCGAGTTTCAGGTGGCTTTGTCAAAGGATCACAGTCAGTTTCTTGAACAATGTCATCAGGGTCAAGAGACTGGCACATAACGCTACGCTGAGTCATAATATCGATACCGCAAGTCGCAGAGCACTAAAGCAGCAGAATAAAATAAGAACATTCTGTTTTTTTTCAGATATATGTGCAGTACTTCAACAATTCTTACTGGTTTCCAGGGACCTACAGTCCACTTCACGCACGGCTTCATTCGACAATGTTGAACGTTCAGCGGTTTTATTATATTTTTGCAGTAATCAATGTTTACATCTTCGTCCCCATATTTGCATTTTACTGAACGTCTTTGTCGTCCATTTCCACAGGTTGTTGAACATTCCGACCACTCTCCAGTTTCCCATCGAATTTGAGGTCTTTCATGAGCAGATTCCAATAAATTGTCAGAAAAAACTTTACAAGCGGGTTTTTCACAAGTTTTCTGTTTATGAGGCCGGGTATTCTAAATACTAGCAATATCTTTCCCTGTACAGCGCTTGTAATCCAACTAACTACATTAAAAATAAATTTAAAAATTCAGTTCATCTTGTCGCAAAAATAATTTTTCATTAACTATAGAATATACCGCATCGCATTCGGAATCATGAACAACGTTTGTCGATCCAGATGCTCCGTCGCGCACGCACTGCACAACTCGCTGCTGCTGACCAGTGCCACAGGTGACCGAGCACGCACTCCAAGTAGATGGTTTCCAGTGAGCACAAGCGAACAAACTAAAAATAGACATAATCATAGAACAGCAAAAAAAGTTTCACAAAGTTCTAGAAATTCCCTTATAAATCTTGTGATACACTTACTGGCAAACTTCTTCACTCTTTAGGGCACCTTGATCGTTGCATAATGAATTGTCGACAACCTGATTACGGTAAATACATTCAACAGCTCGATTTCGTACTCCCGAGCCACAGGTAACAGAACACTATATATGAAAACCGCTCAATTAGTTCCAAAAACGAATTACTGATAAGAAGGGCTGGTTATAAACTCGAAATTATTAGTAAATCACTTACCTGAGACCATTCTGACGTCCTCCAAAACGGACAAGGCCCTAAATTACAAGGCTCATGACTTGGTGGGCGTGTTTCGCCTTGAGAAAGACATCTTTCACTAGGCACTTCAACCTCACTATCATCGACGCATGAAACGCGTCGTGACTTCCAGCCGTCCAAGCAGGTCACCGAGCACGAACTCCAGCTACCAAGCCTCCAAGTAGGACAAGCCGGTTGGCGGCAAGATTTCTGCACATGGCGATGACGCGCGTTACAGCGAGCTGAAAAATTAATTATCAGGCGAAAATTATATCAGAATTGCAAAAAAAACTAAAGAAGCAGTCATTCCCTTATAATACAAGATTCTGAAAACGTCAAATACGAGATTCTGAAAACGTCTTTTGATAAAGTATTTATTACTCGACTCCAAATGTCTTCCGTCACGATCAACACAAACAGCATCACGTTTTTGGGTTCCTTCACCACAAGTTACTGAACATTTCGACCATGCCCCAAATTCCCAATGTGTGCACAATTGTTCATTGCATAGCTCTCTGTCGAGTTTTTCCTTGAGATTACACATTTGTGGATTGACTTCTCGACCTGACGCATCTTGACACGATGCATGCCTGACTTTCACGCCCCCATCACATGATCGAGAACACTAAAAAGAAAATTGCGTAAACAAAAGAATATCTATGAAATTTAAAAAAAAGTCTTTTTCTACTGTTTCTAAAATTTTTAATTATTTTTTACTCCGACTAACCTCAGACCACGACGAATAAACCCATCGCGGACAAGGCACCCGATTGCACTCCTTTTCTGATATTTCTTTAGCTGTCCTCTCACACAACTTCTCGTCAATTGGTTTATTACTATGATCAACACAAATAGCACGCCGCCGAGTGATTCCTCCATTACCGCACGTTTCAGAGCACTAGAAACTTTTATTACACGTTTCAAAAAAAAAATCACAAAAAATTATACGATTTTAATTTATAAAACACACTTGTGTCCAATCTGTGTATGTCCATTTACGTCCTGCGCAGTCATGAAAGCAAGTTTTTCGATCACTTGGTTTTGGAAAGTCACGACATTCAATGTCCGATACAGCCTCTTCTCTACCATCATTGTACTGGCGGACGCACTCGCTCTTTTGGCGTATTTCACCGTGGCCACAAGTGACAGAGCAAGTACCTACACTAACAGTTCGCCATCTAAAAATATATGTTTCCTTTCTCCATCTCTTCCAAACCCTAAAACTTTAAAGAGTTTCTCTACAAAATGAATTTTAAAAACCCCATGTTACTTAATAAAGCAATCTAAATTGCAGAGTCGCGTCTGTATCTTCGGTTTCGCAGAAGTGCAAAGCTCTTTACGAACACTACTGCCGGTGATCGCATTTATACAAACCAGAATTTGCATTTGCTTCCCTAGAAATTCAACCGTATAACTGACAAAAGACTGGTACTTTCAATATAAATAACAGCAAAATGAAAAAAAGTTTTAAAGTTTTTTATTACTTACTAATGAGATAAAGATCAAAAAAAAACCAACAATTGCTACCTTGACACGGTGAGGTACATTCAGTCCACAAATCACTAATTCTCCAATAATTGCCGGAAACTTTTGGTTGATAAGAGTCATTTATATCGAGTGGTATCATAAATTTATAGCGAATATCCGGCGGATATAAACTTCCAACAGAGAGAACATGAACATAGATATCAGACCTGAGAAAGTTGAAAAGTAAGAACTGGCTAGAAAATGTAATAAAATAAACCGATATGTAATACTTTTTCTTGTTAAAATTTTTTCAAATAGCAATTGGTAAAATATTTTACAAAGTGTGGACCAAACAAAACAAAACTGAATTACCAGATCGGACCACTAGCGTTTATCCTTTCCACTATATTGTCACTACCGGAGTACCATAAAACTGCTTTCTGAACTGTTATTTGAACAGGATAGACAGAAACTTGATAGTTACCGTTCAAAATAAATTCATTATTTGCATTACGTAATGCTATAAAAAACAAATTAGTAAACCCAAAGAATAATAAATAAAACATCATACAGATGCAATCTTTCCAAAAAGTACCTAAGTAGTTGTCGTCTTCTCTCTGATTTTTGTATGCATGTTGAGTGATTTCAATAGCTGAAGCACCGGCAGGAATCTTAACCACTTCGGTATACCCATATTGCCCAGCTTCATTATACTTACCAGATACTGATCGGCAAGATGTATTATCGCCACCACAAACACCACACATATCCCTTCTAACCTCTGAGCCAAGACGATGATCACAGCCAGCCTTAATTAAATTTGTTACAGTTGTTTTTATATTAAGCAAAACAGCGTACGTTACCTTATGACAAGCTCCATCAATACAAACGTCATCGCTATCCCTATCGCATGGTGTCCCGTCAATTACCTTATTCTTCAACAAATAAAATGCAGATCTACCCTCCTCATGACAGTACAACTTGCACCGTTCGTTCGTACTTACTGTAACAGCAAGTTTTTAAAGAGATGTGACTTTGCGATACAAGAGAAAAAATTAAACTTTTAACCTCCTTCGTATTTTGGAAACCATTTTCCATTCCTCGACGCTCCATGAATACCAGTATCTCTAAAATCAAAAGCAGAACACTGTAGTTCTCGAAATCCAGGCGTATCTATCGGGCAATCCATAGTGTTGCAAGAACGATAACGTTCACGTTGGCCAACACAATATCTTCCACCATATGTAGGCCTGAATAAACTTTGGTCCTTGAAGCATTCACTAACCAATTAAATTTGAATATTTTTTGCCAAGAGGTCCCAGCAAATATGATTATTCAAGCGTAATTAAATCCTTCTTCATGATCAAGTTTTAATTACGATAAAATGTTATATTATTAAAGAAATAAAAGCCGATCCCAATGGAATTTCCAAAACAATTTTTCAGCTACAAAGGCTCGCTGACGCAGTTATCAAACAGACAAAAATACCTGCTGTTTCATAACAAAATTTTCCAATCAAAACCAAGCTCTGTCCTTATTCTTCAACACTGTCAGCTTTCAGCCATCACTTTGGTCTGCTAATTTGCAGTAAAATTTTTTATTGTTTCTCAAAAACTGTTTCATCTGTTAAACTAGCTAGCACCATAGATGTCTGTTCGTCTTTTACTCCGTTTTCTTCCAAGCACCACTCGCATTTATGCTTTGAAAATGTACAGGTTCAAATATCTAACCAAATAATCCGATTAATATGATGTTTACTTTGGATTATCGCATTCCCTGTATGCTTTCTGAACCCCACCACCACAAGTTCTGGAACATTCCTCCCATTGTTTCCATTGACCCCAACCTCCATCCTGCTTGAACCTTTGTTGTGGTGCAAGCCCCACGCATTTGCCACGATGACACCACTAAAAATACAAATATACAAAACAGTATTTTGCAACAACAATTATACTACCTTTTTCATAAAAATTTGAAATTCAAAGTAAAATTGATTTACACATTCATCTAGCAAAGTAAAATCAAGAAATTTACAATAATCAATTTGGCCCAAATACCAAAGATAAACGGGTCAGACCTGATCCTTGCCACACGGTGTTCCATCAGCCCAAGGCATATGTTGAGTGCGACAGCCTTCCCTTGCCCCATGTATATCCCGGATGTAATCCTCACACCATAACCGTTCACAGTAATGTAACTGAAAAAACCATGTCGCATTATGCTGATAAGCTTAAATAAAAGCCGCTGTACAAAAGCACACTTGGAATTTGGTTTATAAAACAATTTTGAAACGACTAACCCCGGTGTACTTGCATAGACCAGAGTGTGAGCCAAAAACAAATTTACACTGCTGATCCGCAGAAAACATTGCTCCAGGTGCTGGCATCTCAAACAGACGATCGTAGTAGCGTCGTTCTATCGGTTGATCCAGGATGCACTGAGTCTGCGCTCGTCTTGAACTGCAATCGGTAACTGCAGATGTTCGTTGAATAACAATTATAGCTCTCTTTTTGACAAAATTATTGGAATAGCCGTCTCATAAAACCTTTTAAAGCTCTTACTCAAGAAATTCGGCCAACATTGCTGAACTGCATGGACTCCAAGACCAAGGATGTGTGTTATATTCCAGTGTCGGTGCCATTATATGATAGTTGGTTGGATCTTTGATCATATAGTGCCCACACTTCACCTCATCATCGTGTGGTATATTGAAACTAGAATTTATAGTATCTTTACCAGTACTTAAAAGAATTTTAATTTATTTACCAAAAAGTCATTGAACGAATACAGCCGTTGAGATAATACAGTATGCTGTAGCGAATCTTGTTATAGCACTAATTTTTCTTTACTGCAGTATTTTAACGCTCGTTAACGATGCAAAAAGCCAAGAAGTAAAAAGAAGTAATACATTTCAGAAACTAACATGTGTCCAAGTTCATGAGTTATAGTGAAACCTGCTGATAAACCGTTGTCCTCAATGATGGCACAACTTTGCTGTGGTTTACACATTGTTCCTAATTCAGCCAGTCCAAGTGTATCACACTTGTTACGAGATCTGTATTAAAAAAA